AGAACCGAACACGGGGGTGTTCGGCTCATCCCTAGTCACAAACACATTCATAAATCCCCCCTATGTTTGAACGTCAATAAAGGTGTTATTGGATAAGGATTATTAGGGTGCTGGTGACATACTTTACTTTTTGAGTACAAAAAAGGCACTAGGCAGCACAGTGCCTTAGTGCTTAACACAGATGCTTTGCAGAACTTGGGTCGTTGGTTGGAATCCTCACCAGGACACTATCTGCATGGAGCTTGCATGTTGTGTGGGTTTTCTCCCACACTCCAAAGACATGCTGGTAGGATATTGGACTGAGTGTATCTCGACTCCTAAGCATCTTCAGTTCCCAGTGAGAGAAACGCTATAGAGCTATAATTTAAGCCCTCATTCACACTGCTTTCTCATTCTCCTAAACAAAACAAAAATGCTAAAAAAAATCCTATTCATGTCTATGGTCACGTTCACATCTGAGCCGACTCAGTTGTAGCAAAATGGCCAGGGCTGGATTTACTCTCTTTTGCCCCAAGGCTGGGTTCCTCAATGTACCCTCCTCCCTGTCAAACCCCTCCATGATGAATAGCAGCAGGGTTGGTTTTAATTTTTTTTTTTTCCTTACTTTTGTATTACTTTTTTAATTTTTTACTTTATTGAAATTTTTATTTATCTTATCTTTTACTTTTTAATTATTTTTTACTTTTCACCAATATTATTTTTTTTCACTTATCTTTATTGCTATCACACAGAAGCTAATAAGCACCTGTGTGATAGCATTTGGAGTTAACAGGTTCTCTTTATTGAGCCTGTCACCTCCAAACACAGGAGTTCTAGCACAGCATAAAATAAAAATAATACAGTCATTTATTTAAAATAAAATTCACGAATGCAGCGTTAGACATAAAGTTTACTTCAGAATAAAACGGTATACACATCACACTGGAACGCAGGGCATTGCAGTACCGCACGTTCCAGTGTGGGCGATCACTAGGTGGACAGTAGGTGCATTTGGGATCAAAATTTATCAGGCCGAAACTGAAAATTACTTTTCCTACCTTTTATTTATATACATACAATTATTAAAAAGATAAATATATATCTATATATATAGATATACAGGTGAAACTCTTACGAGATACGGGTCGGGGGGGGGCAGCGGGTAATGTATTCACGGCGGTCTCTCCTCCCCACTGGTGCCCGCTGCAGCGGTCCGTGTCACAGCTGCCTCTGCCAACACAGGCGGGGAGAGCAGCGGGGATTTGAAGGGACACAGACCGCTGCAGCCACCCCTCTACGCCCTGCTGCCAGGCCTCGGTGGTCTTGTGGGAAATCCGGCCCTGAAAATGCCCGTTGCATAAACAAAGTACATGAGCTTCTTTATAGATTCTGCATTTCTTGGCCCCATAGATTTCAAAGGAAATGCTCAAAAATTCCAGTTTGCTGCGTTTTTACATATTTCTATTTTTGTCCATTCACATCAATGTGCCACAATCATTAACACACGCAACTTTATGTATGCACGTAAAAATATGCAAAAACGTGCAAAATAGAAAAAAATTTGCTACACAAAACGCGCTGAAAAAGTGCAAAAATGTAATGTCGCTCAGGTGTCCAATGCACGCTAAATGAAATGCCTGCTATGGACAAGTACTCCACTCCTGATGTGTGGTTTCCTGTCAGCCACTTACACAGCACATTCTAAGTGCGGCCATACTCAATGTCCCCCTGGGGCCATGCCAAGCTCCACACATCTAGTAAGGAGTCAGCGGTGAGTGTGTGCTATGTTTATAGCAGCCGACTACTCCGGCGTTTCCCAGTAACTGTTTCTAACACAGCCGAGAGAGGGGCGGGAAAGCAGCACGTCACCACACACTGAAACCCCCCGGCCACCGCAGCCATCATCTTCTCGCGGGATCTGGCTTGGCTCTCGTCCGCCATATTTCGCCCTGCCAGTATTTTGGTTTCGTCTCCAGCCTAGAAGCAAAGAGGAGTCATCATCATCCCATAGAAAGTGCTGCTGGGAGAGGAGGGACCGTTACGTTTCGGGTCTCGTGACGTCAGAGAAGCTTGGTTCCGCCGGCGGAGCGCGGGCCACTGTGGACTGGGCCGTACGGAGACCGTGAGGCCGGAACCGCTGCAGTGTGGCGGAGGGGGGGGAGGTGGCGGTGTGATTGCCGGGGCAGCAGAAGCAGCGCTTGTCCCCCTCCCCCCCTGCTGGAACCCAGTAGGCTAGTCAGGGCAGGCTGACTGACGGGTGTCGCAGCCACCACGCCGGCCCATAGTCCGAGCTGGCGGCGGAGGAAGAAAAAGGCTGAGAGGTAAGCGGGGGGATTGCGGGGCCTGGGAGGAAAATGGATCAACTTGAGCCCGGGCCTACTTGAGAAAAGGGGCAGGGTGGGCGTTGATATAAGTGTAGGCCCCAGCCCTGTCACTGACACTTGTGTGTAGGTGAGCTGGGACTGTGGGTGTCCGACATTACAGCAGCCTGTCCAATGGTCACCAGACTGTCAACTCTCCTCACCTAGTGTGACTGGCCTCTTCACCCCTTTTATACATCAGGCAAAATCTCCTCTCCTTCTGAGGGCTGCTCCATTGGAGTTCCACCACTGAGTAATAGTACTGAATGGAAAACTGCATCTGGCTATTGAGATATGCAATCTGTATTTAAACCCTAACCTAATAATGTTTCATTTGCTAAAGCACTGTTCACAATTGCCATTATTCACCCATAAAATATTCTCCATTGTTTTTTGTAGCTCAATGCTGCTGATCTCCTCTGGCTCTTTTAGCCACTTCTGGTCTGCATGTCCTCGCTCCAGCGTATCATTGCTCTGGACTGGCTTCCAGGGACAGCTGTGAAGCGTGCCAGTGCAGTGTGTCGACACAGCTACTTGTCTCCTCAATAGCGAAAGTGACAACACACGAGCATAATAAGCTGTCACCTTATAACAGGAAGTGCATTAAAGAAGAACATTGTGCCCCCTCCCCCACACACATTTTTTTTCTTCTTCTTTGCTCTCTAACCATTTATGTTGGTTTCTCACCAGAAAACATGTGTTCACAGTTGTCCTGCTTTTATTCACACCCCAGCTCCTGCTCCCCCATCTTCTGTGACCTCATCGGGTCGGCTGTCTCTCCTGGGTTCTGCAGCCAACCCCTGATGATGCGTGACAAGGTCTTCCAACCAGCTGCTGTGAGTCCCTGCTCCTGCAACCTTCTGGGATATGTGATGGGGGTATCCTAGGAGGTTGCGCGAGAAGGGACACTTAAAGGAGAATTATGGGGAGAGTGAAATACACTTATCCCCATAATTAGAGCCTGATGATCAGGGCTTGAAAAATTTGGCGGTGTCTCACCAGTCAGTCAAAAATTTCACCAGTCAGCATGACCTGCTATTGGCTATTGCACCAGCCAACTACCTGCTGTATTTACGTTCAGTTGCCGTCTGCGGAATCTTGCCACTGGCAGCTGGCACTTCTCGGCTAAAGCTATTCAAGCGCAATGTGCTTGAATAATTGAATACCATTATTTAAAAAAAATAATAAAAGGTGGAAAAAATAAATTTTTGGTTTTGGCCTGACAAATTCTGCTGCGGGAGGTGCGTTGCAATGCCATTCATTTTAATGGCACCCCAAATGCACCTCCCACCCACAGTGTGATTGCCCGCACTGGAATGCGCAATACCACAATGCTGTGCGTTCCAGTGCAATGCGATTGCAAAAAATTGCATGCAGTTTTATTCTGAAGTAAACTTTGTAACATTCCCTTTGTGTATTTCAAATTACAGATGGTATTTATTTAAAGGAGAACTATGGGGTTAGGGCTTCTCCCTATAGTTCACAACTAGCGTCCTCCCGTCACCCTAAGCTCAGTCTCGCAGTATACCGCAAGCTGTAGTATACTGAGACGCTGAAGTGGATCCCGACAATTATGTCTGGATCCGCCCAGCTGCGTGAGTGACAGCTGGCTCTGCCTATCTAGAGCCAGCTGTACCCGCCCCCTACCCCGTCCGTTCCGCCAGTCAGCGCTGGAGGATCGGAGGGGGGAATCCAGCCCCTCCCCTGTCACGGCACAGAGCCGTGACAGGATCCAGAAGTGAGCGAACGCCGGTATGTGTTTGCTCACTTCCCGATCTACTGAGCCGACATGTGACAGTCTCATTGTCACAGGTCGGCTAGAACTATGAGGTGAGTGAAAAGCACTCGCCTCATAGTTCTCCTTTTAATTATTTTTAATCCGGTTTTAATCAAAAATAATTCGTCCAACTAATCGATTATGAAAATAATCTTTAGTTGCAGCCCTATTAAAAATGTAATGAAATACTTTTCTGGGCAATTTTATATTGCAATTATATATTGTTAGATCTAGATTTTTTTATTTATACTGCTTTAAAATGTTATTTGTATCTTAGTGCAGACTGCAAACCAGCCAATCATACAAGCAGGAAATTACATTCTGGGGGCATTTCATACCCCAATGGTGTACAGAACGCTTCCAGATTGACACATTGCATTTAATTTTTTGAACAGTTTTGGTAATCCATAGCAGCCTCAGATTAAAATAGGTGATCCTGCAATAAAAATTTGCTTGCCAGCAATGTTTTTTTTTTAATAGTTTTGTTTTATATTCCCAGGCATTCAAATGGTTTGATTTCTGCCTTCAGCTGTATTTTGCACAGTTCATGTGTTGTGATAACCTTAGCGACCGTTTGATTTTCTTCATGTTGGGGACACAAATGGTTATCTTATGTTTTGGTGAATACAAGTATGTGGCTTTTAAAAATGGTTTGTTCAGGTGGGTTTTTGACATGGCTTTATTTACATACCTTCTACTTCACCTTCTGAGTTTGGTCTTGGTGATGTGTGTAGTAGAAATATTACTGCTCAGTTTTCACTAGGGATGTCCCGATGCCACTTTTTCAAGTACAAGTACTTCCCCATATGTACTTGCCGATACTTTTTCTTAAAGGGACAGGTGACATTTAAAAAAAAAACAATACAGACTACACATCAATCTTATCTCTGAAGTGAGTGGCAATTTCCTGGGCAGTCAGGAAAGTAGGGAGTTGTAAAGAGTTGACGAGGACTAGATGCGAAGGAGTTAATGAGTGTGATGAAGTAGGTCTGTTTGGCTGTGTGGAGGCAGGTACTATATTTATGGAGGGCAGATTTAAGGTGCCCATACACTCTACAACCCTGTCAAGACTTTTGTCTTGCCAGGGTTGTAAAGTAATTTAAAAAATGTACGATCTGCCCATCTTGGACAGGCAGATCGTACTTGCGATCATCGCAAGCCCGTCCCCCTGAACGGGCAGTGTGCGCACACCGGCCCGCTCGGCAGTGATCTCTCGATCATGTTAAAAACCAGCCAAAAATCGTACGATTCTCGGCTGGTTTTCCAACATGCTCGATATACAAAAGTCGTGCGACCGCACATTAGAAACGGTCGCACACCTTCCATACACTGCACGATTCTCGTATGATCGCGGGATTTCCCGCGATTCTCGTACGAGAATCGTGCAGTGTATGGGCACCTTTTTATATAGGGTGAAATCTTGCAGGGATTTGGCTTCACGCCATTGATGCTCAAGTGCACGACTGTGTCTTCTTGTGTCGTCTGTCTGCCAAGGCTGTAGTGGACGGGTCCCTGATTTTATGAGAGGTGAAAGGGGCAATACAGGATGAGAGTGAGTTATTGTAGAGAGAAGTGGCAAGGTCAGGGCAGGAAAGGGTTTTGATTTTGTCGTAAAGGTGATCTGTTGCAGAGTAAAGAGGGGTTACAGTGGTGAAGGCTCCTACGGGTGGCGGTTTGCTGGTTGGAATGTCGGGGGGCGGATGAGAGGGAGAGTGTGAATTTGATGAGGTTGTGATCAGAGAGTGGAAAAGGGGTATTGGTGAGATTGCAAGGGGGGCAGAGGTAGGAGAATATGAGATGAAGGGTATTGCCATCACATTGAGTATAAGAGTTAGTCCATTGTGTTAGGCCAAAGGAAGTAGGTTGAGTAGCTCAGAGGTTGTGGTGTTGCTAATATTGACAGGGACATTAAAGTCACCGAGAATGACAGTGGGTGTTTCAGAGGAAAGAAAATAGGGTAGCCAGGCATAGAAGTTGTCAAGGAAGCGTGTTACCGGTCCTGGAGGACGATAAATCACTGCGATCCTCAGGAAACAGGGGAAAACAGACGTATATAATGAACTTCGAAAGAGGAGAGTGAAGGTGATGTCGGAAGAACTTGGAATGTGCTTTGTGGTGATAGAAGGAAGCCAACTCCCCCCTCCCTAGGGGATAATTGTAAATCTATTGCTGCAGTGTACTCTATATGTGTTACATATAGAGTACACACTGCTAATACACTGCAGACAATAGATTTACAATTATCCTCTGCTAATATTAATAGCTTCTTAATAGGGACCCCAGGCCCTCACTTACTGCTTGATGATGGCTGGTGCCTCGCTGGTGAGGTCCTAGTCGGCGCTGTGCGGGAGCCTAGCGGCGAGTCATCGCTGGTCCGGTGGCAGGAGCTCCAGGTGTGGACCTAATTTAGCTGGCTGGCGACTGCCCAGGGGTGCCATGCGTGTCTCGTGAAGGTAAAGAAGAAAAAAGAAATAGCGCAAGCATCGGCGATATGTATGGGGGCATTGTGACAAGTTCTTGTAAAAATGCCCTGTATCTGTCCCGATACCGATGCTAGTATAGGTATCGGGACATCCCTTGTTTTTACCATAGGTGGATATTCAACATACACGCGTACAAAATTCATAACCCAGTCAAATCATTGTTCAGTCCTGTAGACTATGCTATGCTGGCCATACACATGCAACTTTTAATCAGCTTTCAAGTGAAAAAAATAAATCGAGGAATCTTCTCACAGAACTTATTATCTCAGTGTCAACAAACTGTTGACGAGTGGCTGGTTTAATTTATCTGTGGGGCCATTTTTGCAATCAAAAAGCTGGTTGACAGTTGAGATTACCTGCAAATTTGCCATGTGTTTCCAGTATTTTGTTACACATGGTTTTATTGATATTAGTACCAAACAATGGATCAACAATAGGTTAAAACATGCAGCCTCAATTTAGAAAAATTGGCTTCTGGATTCTGTGCTCTCCTGGTTTTCATAATTTTTTTTTAAAATACATTTTTATTTCTTTCTTTTTCATCAGTGATAGGTTTTTTTTACCTTTTAAAAAAAGATAACCTGGTAATTCTGCAAATAACACTTCCTGTCCCTTCATGTCTTGTCTTTTTTTTGTTCTACACTTTATCTCTGGGACAGCCATGGTTGTTACATAGGCCAGACTTCCAACATGTCTGCCTT